GGTCGGAGATCACCAGGTGGGAAAATGTCTCACTGTTTCGCAAAGCAAACATATCAAACCCACGCTCGTCGTCAATGTTTATGAGCAATCTCTCCAATGTATCCTTTCGATGGCAGCACGCGTCTCTGTTGATTTTTCCCAGCATCATCGTCCCCCGTTATTTTCTAGATAAATACACAACCTGTCTATCAAACATAAACGACCCCATTTGAACTCGCTCCAACGATCATTGACTGTTTTGATAACCTCGCTGTTAGTCAACCAACCTAGAAACCTTTTCAAATTGTTTGAATTGCATCTATTCAAACAAAATCATTCAAACTGAGCTGTAATTTTCTTCTGAAAAATTCTTAGTTTTACCTTGGAACCAGTTTTGAAAATTCTCGTATTTGTCAACTTCGAAGAACTCTTTAGGAACAAAGTTCAATTTCTAAGATGCCACCAGAGATTTTCCCTGAACATTTTGCGAAAAAGATCTCTGAATACAGACATTGGAAAGTTTTTTGTTAGGAAGCGAAAGTGACTGTCATAAATTGACACACCCAATGGTTTGCACAAGGAAAGGGCGAACCTGAAATAAAGATCAACAGCGGGTCGCAGAACTTGTTAGGAAGAGCACAGCACATATGGTGGGGGAAAGGAGGGGGGAGCACTCATACCTCTTTCTAACCCTATCTGACTCAATGGGAAAGGGGTTAAGAAGATTACAAATGCTACTCGACTGTATGTCGGGGCTGTAACACGCGATTCCGTAAGATTCTCCATGGAGCATGTTACTCATAGGGTTTCTTGATACCGCTATGCGGGCACAAGTATGCACTGATTCCTGTTCTCCCGCAGTCGTGCCCGGATACCACGATTAGTGGAGTTCAGCGATCGGTACTTGTGCTCAATTCGAGTCCCTCCCGGAGCCGAAGTTTTATCCGTAACTCGCCAACTTTGCAAGACCAACCTTTGCTTCTAAACATTTACCACCCTCCATCTATGCTGAATAGGTCGGAAAATTTATGGCTCTATACAAGGGGAACTTACTGCGAAAAATCGTCTTTGTCGATGAAAAGGAAGTTGGCTTCTGAACCCATCAGCGACTTCAAATCGGCTCGATTGATGGTTGCGAATGCAAAAAGACGTGATTCAGAACTCCATTTTGGCCAACAAAGCGGTTTAGCTAAAACAAAACTTGTAAGGCAGAGGTATTAAACTCCATTTGGATTTGTGTGCTTCAGTCTGAGAGGATCAAATGAATAATAATCAAATCTTCACCTGTATGATATACTAAAAGGAATTCGACGATCAACGGGAAGACAGGTTATACAGGTGATTATATAAAAGGAAAGCGTCAAGTGGTAAAGTAGGAGATCCTTTAGAATGAGAGTAGAGATCCTTCCATGCTTTAACAGTTATGTACTTAAATTCGTCACTTTCTCTCCAACTGCCTTTCTAGAGAAAATGAGCTCTGCGTCTATGTAGACGGAGTGGGCAGCGAGGGGCCTGACTTCCAGACGGAACGCGTACCAGATGGATAGCCACACCTTTACCCTGATAGAACTCCTGTTAGGCAAACAATTCTATCTTTTTGGATGGTGTCAAAACCTATAATGACGACCGTTTATAGTCACAGCCATCCATTCTGATGTTCGCATCATGCACTGATGTGCTAAACTTCGGAACGAAAGCAACTTTCGATTACTGTACCCCTGCCAGACAACATAGCAACGTCGATGAAATTCATGCCACCCGATAGAGGTCTATTACGGTACTGCACAAGAAGCGAATGACAGAAAATCGAAATAAGACGAAAAGATACGGCACTTTTATTCAAAAGCACCGATTACACATAAGCCTTCACCTTTATCCTGGTACTTCAAAGAACGCGAAGCAGGGTTTGCGATCACTACGGACAGCAATAAAACTCTGCGACGCGATCCCATACTTCCCAGGAGGTTGGTTGAGTTCCTGTGGCAGGCATTCCACTACTCTATCGGCGCAATTGACATTTGCTGGATGGTCACTCTTTCATTTAAACCTGGTGCAGTGCATCTACCCACTACATCCCAGACATGCTCGATGGGTGAGGGAACGGGCCGGCCACTTCATTAGCCGGATATCCTCTTGTGCTAGAAGCTCCTCCGCCTGTGCTGTTCTATGCGGCCGCGCATTTTCATCCATAACAATGAATTCAAGCCCAACTGCAGCCCTAAAGAGATGCACATGAAGAAGGAGTATCTCGCCACAGAACGCTGACTAGTAAGGGTTCCACGCTCAAAAATCTGGAGGTTAATACGGCTATGCAACATGATGCTCCCCCGTACCATAATACCTCGACCACAAGAAGGACCACGTTCGACAATGTTTGTTGTCGGTTGCGTGTTTCCACCTCTCGCCATATAAGGGTGCGTCAAGATTCACTACTCTAAATCTATCCTCATCAGAAAAGAGTAGGTAGCTCCATTCCTCATCTGTCCATTCGCTATGCTCCTGGTACCACCTTGAGCAGTCTCGGTGATACGCGAAAGTTAAAGGAATACAACGTGGTGGTCGTCGGGCAAGCAGACCACCGCTGTGCAGTCATCATGCCACTGTATGTAGTGCCGAGACGGCTTGCTTCGAGCTTGTTAAATGTCATTGCAATTACAGAAGCTGATTGACGTGGACCCTGCTACACAATGTAGTTGTTATCCCTTGGTGCATTTGAACTTGTTCGACCACCTCCTTCGGGCAGCAGTAATAGTGGTTCAGAATGCTCTCCACGGGAAACAAAGCTGTGTGCGATACCGAGCTTTTGAGCTACCCTCGTCATGGTTCTAGGAGTTTTTCGATGATCCTTCCTCGTGTGAAGCTAGCCAGATGATGTCCACGGAATTACTTGCTGATTGACAAAAAATTTTTTGTTTCTATCACCTGCCTCGATTTGCGCGGGCACCCATATTTCGCGCCTTATTTGAACTATCCCTTCACAAAGGGGGGTTCAGTTTCCTGTGCATACAGGAACGAAAATTCGGTCCGGCACTCGGTTCTTACAGTAATCCGGCACGTGTTAATACGCATATTTTTACCCGTCACATATACGACGCGTCGAAAAGGGGCTTTGGGCAAGGAGACGGGGAGGAGACGGGGGTGGGTGGTGGGGTAAGCCAGGGGGTTACTGTAAGAGCCGAGTGCCGGACCGAATTTCCATCTTAGATCCCGTGCATAGCCGTTATAGGTCTGGCAATATTCTTCCACGCTTTCGTTTATTTCCACCCGGTCCCGAATGTTTTGTGTTTCGTTATCCATTTCGTCCCTAAGTTTCGCACACCAGTGTACATAGTATGAGTGAGCCAGACCTTTAACTTCTTCGAAGAATGATGGACCACCTCTAGAAAATGACAGTAATGAATACAACTCTTCCCTTTCCCATATGTAGATTAAATAATCGTTGCGTCTTCCGTTACACGACTGCTCTCTGTTTCTTCATCCTTCTACTACGAAAAATAACCCAAAGTGTGTATCTAGTGGTAAAATGTGCACGGTAACCAACACCTTTAAGATGGTTTCGTTACAGTCTCGCCTGACATCGCACGTGAGGCTTTCCTCCAGTTCAGTATGGACAAGGTGCAGAGACGTTGAACGATGAGGAAGTAGAAAGTTCTAGACATAAGCGACACGCAAAGCGAAGGATTAACTTCATGATTTGCTTCACTTCCTGCTCTAACGAATCATGTTTTACGCTAGCCGCGAGGATTTTCAGCGAGTAAGGGTTAGCGCAGACGTAAAAGGATATAGTGCAAGGTAAGGTATAGTGAAAGAGATTAAACTAATTGTGTGAGAAATTATAATTAAAGCGAAGTAAGGGAGTATAGAATGGGCGTTATTTTAGAACAAAGTATTATGGATGTTACTGAAGGAAGGCAAAGTGTGGCAATATAGATCAGTTAGAAGAGAGCATTATATATAATTAGTCGAGTTAAGTGATAGGGAGAAGAAAGGTGGGCGTAATGCTGGCCAGTTAAATAGAAGACCTAGCTCTCATCAGAAGCTGCAAGGCACTCTTCAAGATGGCGAAGACGATCCTAAAGCTGGGATTCCATCGCAACAAGCATGACAGTCGAAAAACAAAAGGGATTTTCCGGTAGGCTAATGCTGCCATTGGTATCTTTGAGGGTTAAAGCCCTTGGAACTAGTAACCCTGTGATTCTGTTAAAGCCAGCTTACGTCTAGAGGAGGTGGGGGAGTCAATCAAAGAACTTCCAAAATTTTTTTTTGCATGTAAAATAATATTCACAAACCGAGAACCCACCCTATCCCGCATCGAAAAAGGGGCCCGTCTAAAGGTTGACAAGCAGTTGGTGGAGATTGCGAAGCGATTTAACGAGAGAATGCGCTAGATGGGAAAAATTGCAAAAATAAAGCAAAGGTAAGCATAATTTGTGGTATCAGGATCGCGACTGTCGCCACAATAATTTGGCAAGACACCAAGAGTCTTCTTTTATGACAGCTCAGTTTATAATTGATCAGGATGAAAATGTAGTTGAGGGGACCACCGCTTTTTTCCAACACTGAGCTGTAGAGCGCAGAGAAAGAGGGGTAACAGACCTTACTTGTGACTAGAGATGATTCCCAGCCTATTATCATTTTATCATAAGCCTGCCATCATTCTATATTTAAGCATTCAATCCGGAAGATGGTTACTTTCTTCTTGCCAGGATTCGAATCCCAAGAAAGTGAGATGAAAGGAATAAAGTAGCATAGATTTTTGAACCTGTTCCGCTGCATTTCTGGTATGCCTTTGTCTGATCAACAGCTTATAGAGGCTAGTTGAATAGGGACTCAAGAGCGGTTCAGGAACAGAAGGACTTCATTTCCGTGATAAAGCTATCTGTTTGTCTGTGAACAGCCTCTCATGAGCCAAACGGCCGAAATTGGAATGAAACCGAAGAGTTTATGTACCACTCCATAATAATAACGTTTATTATTATTTGTATTTATGAATGAATGTGGGGATGAATTATGTATTTCAGCTATAATCGATGCTTTTGTGGTGCGATTCCCATATATTTACAGATTATCGACAGCATGACTTCATCAGCACCAGCTCCGACGGAATGTAGTCGAAGATCGCGGTGCATTCGACAGACAGGATTGTCCCACGTAAAGCCGTTGCCACCCCAGAACTAAAAGTAATCGCTTTGATGAATTACCCATTCCAAGGTACAGGCCAATGCTTTTTCTACCCACCTGAAGGCAACTATCTGTGACCACCCGAGCCAATCGTCCAGCCTTTAGCTTCGTCATGGAGGCCAGCAAAGTGACGTCATCGCCATTAAGCCTCGACAGAACCGCCCTGAAAGTAAAAGTGTTGCAGCATAGATTGAGAAGGAGAAAAATGAGGAAATGACGAGCTTCAACGAATCTTTTTGGGATGCGCTATGCCTTCATGTTCTACTGAAATCGTAGTTGTCAGTAAAGGAGTACAAAGACCTTCTACAATGGATCTTAGTCTCATATTTGTTCAAATGAGCTTGCATTCGTGATTCCACTCCTTCCTGTTCTACAACAATCATTGAAGCAACAGCACAAGTCCATATCGGAAATCAAAGGTTGAATAGTTAGTTACAATCGATTCAGGAAAACCTGTTATTCTAGCTTTCGGGACTGGCTAAAGGACTCCCGAAGTAAGCGCAACATTGCTGGTCTGGATGGGATTGGATCTGAAGGTTAAGGCAGGTGGCAACACAAGATCTCGGATAGCTGAACATATTATGTGTTTCCTGAGGAACTGCACGTGAACACTCACCGGTAGAGTAGAGCTCGAACAGCTTCGACTTCCGATTGTAACTCGGCCAGTGTAAAGTGCACAGTCTGTAAATGACTCGGTTATGACTCTTTCGGGAACTTCACCCAAATCACAAGCGGTTTCGAGCAGAGAGCGCACATTGATGAGAATGGTTTTTTTAAGAGTATATCATGTTAAAGTGATGAAACATACTTCGACCTCTAGCCGATTCGCCAAGCCAAGCGGAAGTCGTGCAAAAGGTAATACTGAAGTCAGAACTCACCTGCTGATCGAGGACGGTACTGCCGAAAATTTTCCTCTCCGACGCATACTGTGCCGTAAGAGAAATACATCGTTGAAGGGGCTCCAACACTGAATTACCATAGTACTATCTTAAAAGTGGAATGTTCTCGAATAGAAAAAGAACTCTCACAGACTGCAGCCGCTACCAGCCGTTCGTCTTGAAACTGCAGCATCTGATAGAAGAATCCGCGACCTTCCTCACCTATTATACAGCGTTCTGGTACCTAAACAGATAGTTATAAAGAAGCATTTTACTGGGTACTTTCGATATCCGTGCTTTTTTTTGCTGACTATGAGAAAAATAGACAGCAGTGAAGAATTCTGAAGGGATAACCTGTTTCATTTAGCTCTCTTAATCAAAAACTCGAATAATAGCAATCTTCCCATAACGAAGTTCATAGATCCACCTCTACAATATTCTCACCCTAACGTTGTCGAAGAAAATTTCAGCCGTGTCTGAGCAGTGCATTCCCAATTTTTTCAGCTTAGCCGATCGATGAACTCCTGAATAGATTCAATGAATTATTGCAGTTTTTCAAAATAGCAAAATGTTCCTTCTCATATGATTTTTCTTTTGAAATTAGAGGAAGGCTGGAATGAGATCAGCCAATATTCTGTTCTGCTCTCAACGCCCCCTCCCCCTCCCACCTTCATTAGCTGCCTCAAAGTCACCTCACCCGTCACCCGTCCCATTTGTTGTTAATTTGTACTGTATGAACGGCTTATGATTGAACTCGGCTTATGTCGGGTATCTGACAGATCCCTCAAGCCACTTCCGACCTTCGATGTGTCCTACCTACAAAGACTGCTCGCGGCATCAAACTGCTGACACCACAATGCGCAATCCGGTCACCCTGTGAATTTCTGCGACATGCGACCAGTCCAGATCCCCTCCCGGGCATGAACTACCCTAGATCAATCTCGCACTGTAGTCTTTCTATCCTTGTAACTCTGCAGAAAGCAATTACAGAAAAACCAGTTGATCGGCAGTCGTCATTTAAAAACTACATTGCGGACAACCTACAGCTGGCTTACAAGAAGAAACCTTTTAAAGCAGTATCGTAGAAAGATTGGTCGCGTCAACCAGTCAAGTTCCCTAGCTTATGAACAGATCCTAAGAGAAAATGAAGATTCGTGCCTAAGCAAGGGAATCAAAGACGTAGGGTCTTGGTCACATACCTGGCTCATTTAATCTCACGCAAACAAGGCTTTTGTTCCGATGAGGAGACGGATTGTTGTTTGTGTTGACAAGAACGCACGCCCAATCAGCCTGAAATGAAAAACCACTGATGAAGGGGCAAGTGTTCGGGCCATAAGACGATCGCTACATGCCTGCTCTCCACTCGTTATCCACATTTTGTGCCCGTTTATGATCAAGTCGGAACCACTTCGGTCAGCTCTAGTTCGGATAGCTGACGGAAGAAAGTAATTTTTTGAGGGCAAAATATGTCTGAAAGTGAACCAACCTGCTACATCGCTACCTGCTTCTGGCTCACTGACGGCAATGCAGGAAACAAGGTCTCCGGCTATGGATGGAGCAAGGAACTCCTCTCTCAATGAATCGGAGCCGAATTCAGCCAATGCTGGTGTGGCCATATTCGTCTGGAAGAGCGTTGTATTCTGCTGGATATGAAAGCCTAGGGTCATCCCACCTGCACGCAAACTGCCATAGGAATCGCTGCGCAGTCAATGCTTCCTAATTCTTCTGCCACGGCGATCGAGTAGGAGAAATCCAGACCAAGTCCCCCAAAAGCTGCAATACTATTTTTAGGTAAGAAGACAGGAGACCGTACTTGGATTACCCTCAGGCTTATTCACAGCCAAAACACCAAGATTGCCGAGTTGCTTGAATACGGTGTGTGCTGGAAATCGTCCAGCATCTTCCCACTTCTGTACGTGAGGGTTGATGGATCGATCGATTAACTGAACAGGTTCAATTATTTGTATGCTAATGTATTAATGCTGAAAGTGTCTGTTTCGTCATTTATGAACTAACCAGTCGGATCGCCCAGCTAACGCCGGGCTCTCCTCCTTCTTATGTAGTATAGACAAAGATTGGTACAAACAAACAGGGATTTATTTTCGATGAACATAACATGAAACTGTTTCATTCTAATAATGACTTCCTCGGATAGTGCTTGGTCAGGGGATGATACAGAAAGTCGCTAAGGAAGCATACCTATCTAGGGCCTCCGGTCTAATCATAACCTCACTGGTTTTATGAGGACGCTAATTTACTCCGATACCACCTCCTTCAGAACGAATAGAAAGCAATTCCAGAGAGCACTATCCGATCTGAAAAGAGTGGA